GGGGGCAGTGGGGCAGACAGTTCTTAAAAGTTCAGCTGTGGAAAGGAGGGGAGAGGGCAGTAGCTGGGGGCAGGTTTCGAATAACAGAACGTCTGTTTTTGTTGTTTTCTTAAGAGGGAAGAGAGACTCATGTACATTCAAATGCTGATGGATCTCATGAAGTTGAAAATGCAGAAGACAGAGGGAATAATGGATATAGGCAGGGTTGTAGAAAGATGAGAGGGGATGGGATTCAGAGTCAAGTGAAGTCCTTGGTACCTGGAAGGAACTGGAATATTGTCATGCAATTTTACTTTTTTTTAAACGTGAAATACAACAGATAGGTGGGAAAGAATGCTTAAAACAAACACACAATGTCAGGGATGATGGCACATGCTTGTAATCCCAGCACTCAGGAGGCTGAGGCAGGAGGATCGCCGTGAGTTCAAGGCCAGCCTGGGCTACATAGTGAATTTAAGGCCACCTTGAACTATATAGCAAGACCCTGTCTCAAAAAACCCATCAACCAACCAACCAACCAACCAACCAAACAAACAAACAAACAGCTTAAGGAATCATTATAGTAAATATCCATTTAAGCAGGCAAAAATTGAACCTGACCAGCACTGCTGAAGTCCCTTCCTTATCACAACACCCTATCCCCATTGATAATCATTACCCAGATTTACCGCTTATTACTCCATGTTCTTCTAATTTCTTCTTCTTTTTATTGTTTTCTTTATTGGTACATGCTTATAGTACATAATATTTACATTCCTTGTGTGAAGTCTTCTTTTTAGCTTTGTTACTGTTTTTGGCGGTAGGGGGAATTGAACCCAGGGTTTCGTACATGGCAAGCCCTAGAGTACTGAGCCACCCTCCCACTTTCTTAAATTTTTATTTATTTTTAATTTTGTTAAAGGAAAAAAAATTCCCCCCTGGTGCTGGGGAATCAGACCTGGAGCCTCATGCACATTAAGCAAATTCCTATCACTGAGCTACATTTCCAGCCCTAAAATTTTATTTTGAGACAGGGTCTCACTATCTTGTCCAAGCTGGCCTCCAACTTCCAATCCACCAGCCTCAGCCTCCAGAGTAGCTGGGATTATAGACACACTACCATGTCTGGGTTGCTTTTAGCTTTACTGCTTAAACATAGAGCTCTGAATAATGCTGCTAATTTTTGTTTATTTTTTGAGCTTTATATAAATACATTATATGATGTAGATTATTTTTATTTCATAATTCTTTTATTCTATATTATCTTTTAAGAATTCACTCATATTATTGCACATAGCTGTGGTTCTTTCATTTTTGTCCCTGGCTAGTAGCCCATGGTATGATTATATTACAATTCATTTGTTCTTGCTATTATCAGTGGGCATTAGAGTTGTTTCTTATTCAGGATTAATACAAAATTGCCCAGTAATACCCTTGTACATTATGTTCTGGTGTCCTGGTGCCTGATCCTCTTGAGTATTATTCCTAAACAATGGAACTTCTGGGTCACAGAGTATGCACATCTTCAACTTCACTACAGAGTTCAAAAGTGGTTGTATCAATTTACAATCTTAAAAGAAAAGGTGTTCAACCTAATTAGAAATGAGACAGTTTGTAGCATTATCATTAATACATTTTTACCTGACTTCAAAAGCAATGTATCTTTCTCAGCCGAGAGCTTCCTTGGGGTAAGTTTTAATGCTCTTGCTCTTCTCGTTTGGGAAGTTGGGGGTGGGGGGTGACTCAAAGTTTCTTTCTCAGCATAATTTGTTACCACTAAGTGATTACTGTTTTTCTTATGTATTACAAGTTAGCTATTTCTTTGGTAAGGTGTGGGAGGCCAGCTCTTGTATCATTAGAGATACAAATGATTGTTACATCTCAGGGTAAATCACCCCTGTAGATGGTTGCTCTATTGAGATTAGCATAGCGCTGTATTTAGGCTGCTGAGTGGACTGCTAAGAGCATGGACTACTCAGGTTTGAATCCTCACATCTATTAGTTAGATGACCCTAAGTTATTTTACCTTTCTGGGCCTCAGCTTGCTCATATACAAAATAAGAATGGTAACAGTAGCTACCTCCTGGGGTGGCTGTAGGGCTCAAGTGAGGTAATATAAGGAAGGTACTTAGGAACAATGTTTGGCATTCTTGTGCCTTATTTTTGTTTCAGCTTTGGTGCAATATAGGCTAGGGGTTATGTACATAGATCACAGATATGAATCAGAAGGAATTTAAGTCCTGAACTGTATTACTCTTCTGGCTCTACAAGTATGAGCAAGTCATACCACTACCCTGTGTCTCAGTTCCTACTCCGTATGAACAGGGTAATAATCACGACTCTGCATGGGTGCTGAGGGATCCATGTAGATGGCAAATGTAAAATGCCAAGTAAGTATGGATACAATACATGGTAGCTGCTTTTATTCCAGCAGGTGGCAGCTACTGTTCCTGCTCTCAGATGTGGGGGTTGAACAGCTCATGGGCCCTAAACTTACAGGTCCAGCAGTGAGAAAATGCATAAACGGTAAGGTGGAGGGATAACAGGGAGTCACTTCTCGTTTGTGTGCAGCTTCTAAGAAGCTGAAAGAGACGCAGCCACTTTCTACCAGCTCATATAGGTGGGTTTCACCAATATTACACTGGTAACAAAGTAATATATCTGAAGCAAGGAAATTCAAGATCCTAGGGAGGAAGTATCTATGGTAGTTGAGCAGTTTTCCCAAGAAAAAGGTGTTTAAGATGAGAATCAAAAAATATGTGTGTAGGGCTGGGGATTTAGTTCAGTGGTTCTGTTGCCTGCCTCACAAGCAAAAGGTCCCAAGTTCGATTCCCGGTACCAAAACAAAAAACAAAAAAAATCTGTGTGTAAATAGGAGAGGTTGGAGAAATGGTCAGGAAACATAGCGTGTCATGAAGCGCTTTGACTCCCAGGCCAAGGACTTTGTTGATTCAGGGAGGAAAGAAGAGAATTGGATTGCCCAGAGGCTGTAAGACAGGAACTAGAGTTTGAAGGGTGCCTGGGTTAGAAATGCTACTCACTGGCTAGTTGGCACTGCACTGAGGCTTTATCTAGTGTGTTTAGAAGCTATTTGGAGAGAGAGATGCCTGCTATGGTGTTAATGTCAACCCAATCACGCTTTTCCTAACACATTCCAGAAAACTACTGCCAAGGCGGCTGGGTGATTATTGTGAACCTCACTGTATCTCTTTATTGAATACGAGCTAGAAATAAAATGTGCTTGTACTTGACTGTGGTGGACACTTACCCAGGTGAGAACTAAACAGAAGCACACATGAATGAAGGAATCTGAAGGAGATCGGTGGGAGTTACATCCATGTCAATATCCTGATGGTGTTATATTATAGTTTTGGAAGTGATGCAGCGGGAGAGATCTGGTCAAAGTGGACAAAGGATTTCTCTGTATTACTTTTTACTTTTTTCTTTTGCAGTACCGGGGATTGGACCAAGGGGCGCTGTACCACTGAAGTACTCCCGGCCCCCTGCATTTTGAGACAGGGTCTCACAAGTTACCCAGGGTGGCCTTGAATTTGTGATCGTTCCACCTCAGCCTCCCGAGGGCAGGAATTACAAGCATGCGTCACCGCGTCAGGTTCTCTGCATTATTTTTAAAAACTGCATATGACTCTCCAATTACCTCAACGTAAATTTAAATTAAAATGCATTAGTAAAAGTTATGTTTCATAGAAAATAAGCCGCAGTGAGTCACATTTGCTTTCCTCAGTTAGCCATACTTCGGGATTCCTCGGGCACAAAATAGGCGCTATGATTTGTCCTGAGGCCCCAGGTGGAAAAAGACAGCCTTGTGCGAGAAGGCAGGAGGTCCACGGCGCAGGGATCGCTTTGCTACTGGTACTTTTCCTGAGATCACAACGACCTAAAACTTTAGGCAGTTCTGTCCACAGCGAGTCAACTTTGTCCCCATTCTGATTTACCGAGCCAGCGTCACCACATCTCCCAAGGCAGGGTTCAAATTATTCTTTTATTATTAAAATGAACTTTCTTTCTCCACAAAGAAAGGGTTGGTGTGTTGGTTCCGGGTGCAGCATTTACCGTTTAGAAAGTTTTTCACCGCAGCCAGTACTTCTGCAAACTACAAGCCGCAGGGAGGAGTGAACTTAGTTTTTCGAGCGGCCGAGCTCTGTGATTATCCTTCTCGGCGGCGCTAAGGCTTCGCTCCCCACAGCCGGGCCGACTTCGCCAGAGCCGTGAACTTTTCTAAAGTACGAGGGCGCAAGGGGCCACGGTAGGCCAGGAACGCAGCCTCGGAGCCTCCGCCTGGATTTCGGAAACTTCTTCGCACGCTTGCAGACTTCCGCGCATCCCGGAGCTCTCAGCGCGGCCGCCGGAGTCTCTGCGCCCGGGAAGAGGGAAACTGAGGCACAGCTGGCGCGCGCGCACAAGCCCAGGCCTCGGCGCCAGCTCCACGGAGGGCACCCGGGCTGCTGCAGCCCCGCGCGCCCCGCTGGCACCTCCGAACCGCCCCGCCCCAGGTCGGGACAAAGCCCGGAGCCCGCGCCGGGAAGCGGAGGGCGGTGCCGGCCCGCGCGACTCCGCCCCGCCATCCCTCGCGGGGAGCCCGTGCCCCCCGGCCCCGCCCCGCGGCCCATGACGTCACCAACGGCGGCAGGCCCCGCCCCGGCCCCGGGTGGCAGGCCGCATGACGTCACCGAGGCCCCACCCCTCCTGAGCGAGTTCGGTCCTGGCGTTCATTTCATTCCTGTCCTCATTCCGCACATTCTTAGCATCGCTTGCGCCGCGCCGCGCCGCACGAGCCGAGCCGAGCCTCTGCAGCCGCCGCCGCGGCCCCGCCGCCCGCCGCGGGCGTCCCCCGAACACTTTGCGGACTCGCTTCCAGCCCGCGGGCTAGTCCGCGCGGCGGGGCCCGGGCCGGGGCGGCCGCGTCCGGGGCCAGGCCATGCAGTGACCCCCGCCCCCAGCCCGTGCACCTCGGCCCGGAGCGCGGGCAGCGGCAGCCCAGCGCGCCCGCCGGCCCCGGGCAGCAGCGGCGCGAGGCCGAGTGGGGTGGCCCGGCCCTGGGGCAGCAGCCAGGAGGGCGCCGGGCGCCAGCGCAGGGCGGGGGAGCGGCGCCGAAGTTTGCCTCGGAGTCTCGGGCGCCGCGGGCTCCCGCGCCGAGGTAAGTTGTGGGCGCGCGGGGCGGCGGGACCCGTCCTCCTCGGCGGGCGGCGCTTTGTGTGGGCGCGCGGGCTCCGCAGGGCCCCCCATTCCCCCCCCCCCGCTCTCGATCCGCGCCGCCGCGCGACTTGCGGGGCCGCCAAGTTGGGCCGCGCGCCGGGAGCCCGCGCGGCAACAGGCGGCCCTCAGGCGCCCTGGCTCCGCCGCCCGCACGCGCACACACGCACC